GTCTGGGTACAAGCTCTGCAAACGCTTACCTTTCACCGTGTGGTATACGTATGGTAAAGAAGACAATGAAATAGGACATTGTTTCGGAAGAGGGTTCCTGGGCATCGAGTTGCCGAACAGCTGTTGGTATTTGTCCAAGACCTGTTGGAAGGGCACGAAAGAAAACGACCAACGATCACCAGACCTACCCATCAACCACATCCATCGCATCATGACGTGAAGAGGCGAACATGCCCGCAGAGCGTTCGGGCCCTTGTCCTCCACAGTGATCGCTACGCGTTTGCCGCAATGCCCCAAGGTGTCCACGGCGTGGGTTCGAGACGCATCAAAAGAACAACGATCCACAGGCGCTGGGCGCTCCGCGGCTGCACGCCGCACAACGCCAAAATGAGAAACAACGCCGTGCATGAACCAACGCTTTTCCCAGACACGGAGTTCGCGACGAAAAATACACTCAAGCACATCGGGCGCATCGGAACATACCCACCGGCCGTGTGCAGGCAGCTTGATCAAGTCAAGCCCGTGCGCAGCAATCTGTAGGTTTTCTCGACGAACGTGTTCCAAATCAACAAGTTGAAAGCTGCGGCAGGCCGACTGAATATTGACCAGTTTGTGCTTTGCACAACTTGGGCGCTTAGTAACAATACGCGCCCGAATAAAAAATGCATCAGCCAATCGAGGCATTATGCGAGCAACTTCTTTTGTCAGACGTCGCACTTGCATGACAACGTGTTCTTTTCACTCCGGCCCTGGCACTGCAATGACCGAGCAATGAAGTGCGGGAAAATGTTGGGAACGCAGATACCGGGACAAACTCTGTTTGTACTTGATCATGTCAAACATGTGCTTGACATATTTTGCGCATCCCACAACTCATACAAGACATCGCACCTAAATCCAAGTTGTTGCTTCAACCTGCCCCAATTGATACCGTCGGGATGTTAACTCGCATGCTCTATTAAGTAAGGAACGTTGAGGTGGGAGTACATATCCAACACACCTAACTCGCCGTCTCTAGCCGAAGAAATCGCCAACATCGGAACATGCACCTTCTTTGTGGGCTGGCTCAGGAAAGCGCGAACGAAAGACACCTGTTTGCGATCGGACTCGTCATGCTCGGTTTTCCCCCGATGGTGCCGCAACATATGTTCATGGAACTCTTCGTCAGTCGCCGCAGCACGTTCTCGAAGGAGTCGGGCAGATATGTTGCCACCTCTGTTTGCTCTGCGACGTGGCTTCGCGTGCACATTCAATCGAACCTGGCCCAACCGTTCCCTCGGCAAGTAGTTTGCCCGGGGCTGGGAATACTGGATGTGCGCCTGCTCAGTAACATGCGCTAGGGAAGCTGAGACACAAGCAAGAAAGATGATGAATAACGACTGGCCATCTGACTTCTTCAAGGCAGAGTGCCGCGCAAACTCTGGAACGTCCGTGAGATGGCACCACCAAAAAAGCGGATCCAAGTACGGTAGTGCTCAGTGAATCGACAACACCCCCCCGGGATTTTGCTTGAAGTCCTTTGGAATGCACACCTGCCGATGTAATCACACGCGAAACCAAGTTGATAAACACCATGAAGACGAAAGGGCCCGCGTCGAACATGCACCGCACCTGCAGCGAACCGAAATCGTGAAATGCAAGGGTCTGCAAGAAAGTCGCAGAGCCCGGACGAGCGAGAGCACGGTTCACTCCTGCCGGGAACGAGTGCGTACACGAACGTGCGCGTCGACACTGACAACGTCCAGCAAGCCAAGCTCTTCGAATGTGAAGCAGTGAAAGCGCATTTGTAATTGCTAGTAACATGCTCCAATGCCATCCCTTCAAGTCCCGATCCATGGCTGCTTTATGATACTCTGTGCGCGACTCCCCAAACTCCGACAAGAACCTTGCGTCGACACTCTACCTACACAATTGAAACCAGACTGCCATGAACAACCGTTCCATGGCCACGCGAAGTTTCTGGCCTCCAGGGTGCCCATCAAACCACACTTTCTGACTGACCAGCCGCAGTCCGGTCACATATTGTGTGAATTGGTGTGCATATGGCAACGTATTTTGGCACTGGCATGTCGACTAAACGAATTCCACAAACCCAGATGGAAAAACACAAAGTAACAAATGCTGCCAATAATGGCGACGACACGATAACGAACCACCTGAATAACAAACCACCTGAATAAATACGTATGTATTGGAAGAGCACTGCAGTGCACCGTAGCTCCGCACCGAGCTCAAATCCCTCGTGAAGTGAATATGCCAAGAAACATATTGACCAATCTCGCAGACAGGCAAACAAGCTCTCAGCGCGCGATGCTATGATTTTTCAGGGGTGACGCCCGCTGTGCTACTTGAGCGCGTCCTGGGGCATGCCAGCGGCCACTTTTGGGACCCCTGAACCAATATGGACTACAGATCTGGAGACAGACGGCAACAAAACAAATCAAGAAGAACTGTCGAAACTATCCCGCTTCTTGCTGCTACGTTACACAAAGCTGTTATCCCACTTAGTGGGATTGCTGATTCGCAAACAATGTTTCTGCAAGGGGTCTCCGGTGGGCCTTTGGGGTCCCGGCCTCCTCCTCCTCCTTTTTCCTGGTCCTCCCCCTCCTCCTCTTCATGCTCCCCCACGCGTTCCCCGAAGTCTTTTCAAACCGACTCGGGGAACAACTGGCCAGATAGCTTGGCCAAGCTCTGGCCCAGCTGTCGGCCACAGAGGCGCTTCCAAAGGGGCAGGGGTCGGCGGCGCTTCGCCGTAGGCGTCTTCGATCCGCCGCCCCCTGTCGATTCATCGCAGGGGTGCCTGGCGTGCTGAACCCTCTCGGTTTTGGTTTTGGCTCTTCTCCAAAACTCCCCCTGGGACTTCGGCCCGTCCGCCGGCCACCCGGAAAGGACCTGCAGGAACACAATTCCACAAATCGTTCGCTCAAGATGGCCCACGATGGCCTCCAAGATGGCCACGTTGGCCCAAGATGGCCTCCAAGATGGCGTCCAAGTCCGCCTAAGGTGATCCAAGACGGCCTTCAAGAGGTCCTCCAAGAGGGCTCGAAGAGGCCAGAATCATTGGTGTTCCTGAGGTGTTTGAAGGATTTTGGCATTTGCTTCTTCTCGGCCTTCCGACTGCGCAGGACGGCCCAAGAGTCCCGCAAGATCGCCCACGAGGCCTCCAAGGTGGCCCCATGACGGCCCAAGAGGCCCCCAAGACGGCCCCAAGAGGGCCCCAAGACGGGTCAAGAGGCCTCCAAGACGCCAAATATTGCCTCTAAGACGGCCCTGAAGCACCCCAAGACGGCCCCAAGTCGGCCCAGAGAGGCCCCCCAAACGGCGTCCGACGGCGTCAGACGGGCTAGGAGCCCACCAAGATGGCCGAAGTTGGCTCTAGGCTAGCCCAAGACGACTCAAGAGGCCTCCAAGAGGGCCCCCAGGAGGGCTCGAAGAGGCCAGAATCATTGGTTGTCCTTAGGTGTTTCAAGGATTTTGGCATTTGCTTCTGTTCGGCCTTCCGACGGCCCGAGACGGCCCAAGAGGCCCCCAAGATCGCCCCAAGATCGCTCACGAGCTCTCCTGCATGGCGCAATGACGGCCCAAGAGGCCCCCAAGACGGCCCCAAGAGGGCCCCAAGACGGCCCAAGAGGTCTTTAAGACGCCCAAGATGCCTCCAAGACGGCCCTGGTGCATTCCAAGAAGGCCCCAAGTCGGCCCAGAGAGGCCCCCAAACGGCTTCCGACGGCGTCAGACGGGCGAGGAGCCCACCAAGACAGCCGAAGATGACCCTAAGATGGGCCAAGACGGCCCAAGAGGCCTCCAAGAGCGCCTCCAGGAAGGCCCGAAACGGCCAAAATCATCGATTCCCAGGAGTTGTTTGAAGGATTGTGGCATTTGCTTTTTTCACGATTCCAACGGCCCGAGACGGCCCAAGAGCCCCCAAAGATCTTCCAAGAGGTCTCCAGTATGGCCCCAGAACCGCCCAAGAGGCCCCCAAGACGGCCCCAAGAGGCCCCCCAGACGGCCCAAGAGGCCTCCAAGACGCTCACGATGGCCTCCAATACGGCCCTGGAGCACCCCAAGAAAGGCCCAAGTCGGCCCAGCCTTGCCCACCGTGTTCCCCGAAGGCTTTCCAAACCGATTCGGGGAACACATGGTCCGATAGCTTGGCAGGCCTCTGGCCACAACGTTCGGCCACATAGGCGTTTCCAAAAAGGCAAGGGGCAGCGGTGATTCGCCGTAGGCGTCTTCGATAACGCCAACGTCTCAATATGCGCTGATGATTCCTATCCGCCCCCGAGTGATGTTCCCAGATGCGCCAGGGTAGCGCCGAGACGCACCGACGCGACTCTGACAGATCCCATTATGATAGAGAGGGGGCCGGCGGCAGGGGGCGAGGCCCTTACGGATAATTCCAAGACGTGTGTTTGCTTGCTCCCACGCCAAAACCACATAACACATGCAGGGCAATGGCACGACTGCACGCGGAATGAGGGAGGATAGGGGGGAACGAGGGAGGATAGAGGGAGACAAGGGGGGGTGGGGGGAGAACGAGGGAGGAGGGGGAGGGATGGGGGAATAAGGGAGGGATGAGTCGAGGGAGATGCCCTGGGGCCGATCGGCTGCCGAGCGGTGCACGTGGCGCGGCGGGGGTCTTCCGAAATCTAGCCGGCCGCTGGAGGTACACGGAAGGCCTAGCGCTCCTCCTCCTCCTCAGCCCTCCACCCGCCCTCCCCTGCCAGGTCCCTCTCCCCCCTCACCGCGCCAATCTCCCGCTCCCCACCCTCTACTCTGGAATGCCCTCCCCGCCACCTCCCCCTCGTGGCCCCAATTAGTCTTGAGCTGACCCCGTCGCGCGTTGGAGCAGAACCTCACAACCCAAGGCCGATAATGCCCATCCTTCTCAGCTGGCAGAAAGACTGGCTTGTTCGACGAGGTGTAATCTTCACACCCTTGTTGTCGGGCGTTCCTGAAGCGGTACTGTCTCAGGGTGCCCCTCCCGGACTTCCATGGGAGGCCTGCTTCCGTGGGGATGCCGATCTCGCGGCTGAGCGCCGCCATGTTACCGAGGCCGCTGAGGAACTTGGCGACCAGCGCCTGTTTAGATGAAGATGTCGAGCAGGAGGAGGACGAGGAGAGAGAGAGAGAGAGAGAGAGACAGAAATGGAGAAAGAGAGAGAGAGAGAGAGAGAGAACGAGTGCGGACAAGGTCCGTCCAGGCGCCCGCCTTCAAAAAACAACTCGCACTCAACTCCACATTGAATCGAGAGCAGAACCGTGCTTGACAAGAGTCCAAGGCGCTGTCGGCGTACGACAAACGGGGGAATGCACGACAGAAGAGAAGACTACGGCAGGCGGCCACAGAGCGGCGCAACTCTGCAGCGAGCCAATGATGGCGAGAAGCCGGCACCACCCGGTGTGCCATTGGCGGGAGCAGGAGGTGTGGGCAGGAAGCCTCGCTCTGGGAGAGAGGGAAACAGAAAGAGAGAGAGAGATATAGAGAACAAACACAAAAACAATAGGAGGAGAAGAAGAAACGATGGGGAGAAACATGAGACACAGTAGCAACAGGAGGCGGGAAAAGAGGAGGGAGAAGCAGGAGGAGAGCCACAGTAGTCCGAGAACAAACTACCGATGCTGCAACACACCATCAGAACACCACTGCCCTGCCGCAGGGACCGATCCCGTGAGTAATGAAATGGGCAGGTCCCTGTTCGCCGCCGTGCCCTTGGCGAAGTGCTAGAATGCTCTTCACCTGTCTCGTGTGGTTTCTATGGTTTTCCGCCCCACCCCCCGCCCCTTCGCCGCAGGCGCGTCTTAGACAGACGCCCCCCTTCACTTGGCTCCCGGCGCTTTCCATTGGCTCGGGGCAACTCCAAGACAAGACGGCTCAAGACCACCCAGGAGAGCTACACTGTCACCCCAAACCAACCCAAGGAGATTCCACGACCCTCCAAAACCCTCACGTAAACCAGAGACCACGAGACACAAAGAAACCCCAAGAGACTCACAAAGGCACCTCCAACACTGCCCCAGAAGGCTAAGGCAGAGAGAACATCGGGCACTTTCTGGGTTTCAGGCTTCCGGCTTGAAATGGTTCCAGACAACATCCACATAGCCCCAGTACTGCCCTAGATGACATCGAAAAGCCACTACGAGAACCACCACGACAGCCCGAGAACCAGGAGACGACAAGAGATCGCCCAAAGAGAACCACTACGATATCCACTTGGAGACAGCAAGAGACCGCTCAAATATAGCTCGAAGATAGACGGCCCCAATCTGATTATACGAAGCCTCTTCGGCTTCGAAGATTTTGGATAGAACCATCGAGCCTCAGACACCTTCAAGACGCCAGAAAGGCATCTAACAGACCCCCGAGAGGTCCAATACCCTTCCGAGCAGCCAAGAAACTTCACGTAATAACAAGTTGGTACAATGCAAAAGCACATGACGTGCTGCGGCAACGCCTTTCTACTACGACATTGCGATGCTTCTCGCGTGGCCCAATAACGGCTATATCAAGCGTGTTCGGGAGAGCTCGGTTGAACAATCATGACTGCGCTTCGATACTGCACTGCCGCGGTGACGTGGGCTGCCAAAGGCAGCTATATGACAGTGCGGGGCCTGTAACCGTTTCAAGATCTGACCAAGCAGCGTACCAAGGCCCAATTCGCCGGCCCAACGGGCCAGAGGCGTGCTAAGATCTCCGGTAACTACTTAACAATATTTAATCGCTTCGCTCATTCCGCCGGCCCTGGAGCGCTATTTGGGGCCTCTTGTGGCCGTCTTGGGGGCTTCTTGGGGGCTTCTTGGGAGCGTCTTGGGGCTACTTGGCGGCGTCTTGGGCTCCCCTGGGGCCTCTTAGGGGGCTCTTGGGGGCCCCTTGGGGCGGGAGGGGGGGTAGTCGATTGCAGCCACCCCCTCGGAGGCCACGATCCTCGTGAGGGGTGGCGAAAAATAGCCTCCCCCCTGGGGATCGCCCGGGACCCGGCCGGGGATCAGCCGGGGTACTTTTCGTCCGGGGCCCCCCCAGGGCCGCCCCGCGCGCGCGAACTAGAAATACTGTTAAGTAGTTACCGGAGATCTTAGCTCGCCTCTGGCCCGTTGGGCCGGCGAATTTCTAGTTCGCGCGCGCGGGGCGGCCCCTGGGGGCCCCCGGACGAAAAGTACCCCGGCTGACCCCCGGCCGGGTCCCGGGCGATCCCCAGGGGGGAGGCTATTTTTTCGCCACCCCTCACGAGGATCGTGGCCTCCGAGGGGGCGGCTGCAATCGACTACCCCCCCTCCCGCCCCAAGGGGCCCCCAAGAGCCCCCTAAGAGGCCCCATGGGGAGCCCAAGACGCCGCCAAGGAGCCCCAAGACGCTCCCAAGAAGCCCCCAAGAAGCCCCCAAGACGGCCCCAAGAGGCCCCAAACAGCGCTCCAGAGCCGGCGGAATGAGCGAAGCGATAAATGAAAGTCCCTTAACCCTTCTAACGACAAACTTGTGACACGAATTCCCGCAGCACCAAGGCGAGAGTGCGAGTCTGAGCATCCGACCCAGACCGAGCCCGACGAGTAGGGGAAAAGGGCAACAAGAGCGTGGCCTGCGTCGCTGCGGCCTCCTCAGCTTGGAACCTTCCTCCACCGAGAACAGCGGCTGACGGGTGACAAATGAACGAACGCAACGGCTGGGCAACCAACCATGCCTCACGGGAGGCTTCGACGCCCAACCGCGGCGTTCTCGAAGCGGCGCACTCCACGGAAAGAACCGCCTCCACGTGCTCAAACTTGTCATTTCCCCGCTATGTAGCAAGCATCGCACCCAGACCCCTCAAGGGGAGGTCGACCAGGGGTGTTCCACGGGCCCGCTTGTGCCCAGACTTCAAGTCGAATGCCATCTTTTCAAAGATCCATGGCTACCGCGATGGGGAGTGCTCGGGCGTCTCTTGGGGGTGTACGGGCCCGATCGCGAACAGAATGGTGCGACCTCTCAGGTAGAACGCCCGTTCTTAGGTAGAACGCCCGTTTGGGGCGGTGGGCGTCTCATTTTCAGCGCCCCATGCCCCTCTCCTCGCCAGCGAGGACAGCAATGGCGACGACGATGGCGACGACGACGAACCTGTCAAGGCCTCGGGCTTGACATCCAACACCGCCGCGGAGAAGACGGTCCCGTCCTAAGGAGCGGCTCGCGGTTGGATCGCCGCCGCCGCTCAACGCTGCTGCCTCTTCGCGCTGGGAAAGGGGGGTGTGGCGGGATGGAGGCCAAGGGATGGAACAGAGCAAAGAGGTGGTAGTAGAGGAGGCTGAGGACGGGGGAGGGGAGAAGAAAGGCTGAAGGGGAAAGGTGAAAAAAAGGGGAAGATCCCAAACCAGCAAGCGATGGTGTGGCAACTGTTCATCATTACCGTCCTGACGCTCATTCTCCTCATCGTCGTCCTCTCGTATTCGGAACACGGACCGACACCGATCGTAATCGACTAGGTCGTCTGGTTGACCGTCCTCCTTCAGCTCTTCCTGCTTCTCCTCTTTGCAACATGTCCGCGAGCACCGGCCTTGTGAGTGGCCAACGTGTCTGCGAGCACGGTCGCCCGAGCACGGGCAATAATCCTGCAGCTTCGCAGTAGCCCGTGAGCACCGAGACGTGCCTGCGAACACCAATGTGCCCGCGAACATCACGCTAAGATCGCTGCTGCGGATCAGGTGGCGCCGCGCTGCTGGGCGGCACTGTCACGAATGCACTGCGAGGGGTGGGGCAACGCCCAAGGTGCTCTGTGAGGACAGGGCGAGGGCGTTCCGATATTACCTGGTGTTGTTTGTTTGTTCGTTTTTTCCGGGGGGGCGGGAGGGACATAGCGAGCGTCATGACGAAAATAACCTATTGGCACAACGTGCTATTGATACGTTCCGGGGATTCGGGGGTTTCAGACAGCCTTTCTCGCGGGGCACACTTTGCGTCGAGCATTGTCTACTCTGCCTGGCGCCGCTGGTCGGTCACCCTGTTTGGCAGTTGCTGATCCCTCTTTTAGTTGCTGAGCGCGGGGGGTGGGGACGGCGGCGCACCGTCCCGTCGTCCGCCGCCTCGCACTGCGCGCCTCGGCGGAATTCTAAAGACCTGTTGAGGCGAATCACGCGCGACTCTGGAAAATTCTCCAGGGGTAGATTTTTCAAAATCCGGGAGTTGTTTCTTGTTTGAAAATGTCCAGTTTTTCGACCTAGCAACGAAGACGCATAGGTTTCTAGTGGGCTCAAAAGAGAGCATATTGACTCCCCAGGGGGATCCGGGGACTCCCCCGAACACCATTCCCAGGCCACGTTTTTGAATGCACCGAGCCAACTGTAGGCCACTTCGTGTTCTTCGTGTTCCAAGAACACCATTCCCAGGCTAAATTTTGAATGCCCGGAGCCAACTATAGGCCATTTCGTGTCTTTCGTCTTCCCAGAACACCACTCCCAAGCCACATTTTGAATGCCCGGAGCCAACTGTAGGCCACTTCGTGTTCTTCGTGTTCCCAGAACACCATTCCCAGGCCACATTTTGAACGCCCGGAGCCAACTGTAGGCCACTTCGTGTTCTTCGTGTTCCCACAACACCACTCCTATACCATATGTTCATTGCTGGGAGCCAACATGTGGGCCACTTCGTGATCTTCGTGTTCCCAGATCACAAGTCCTGCGCCAGAATTTGAATGCCCGAGCTGACGCAGGCTGAGGCCGAGGCAGGCCGAGGCTGAGGCTGAGGCAGGCTGAAACTGAGGCTAAGGCGGGCTGAGGCTGAGGCTGATGCAGGCTAAGGCCGAGGCAGGCTGAGGCTGAGGCTGAGGCAAGCCGAAGCAGGCTGAGGCTGAGGCTGAAGCAAGCTGAGGCTGAGGCTGAGGCAAGCTGAGGCTGAGGCTGAGGCGGAGGCACGCCGAGGCAGGCCGAAGCTGTGACAAGGTGAGGCTGAATGGGGAGGGGAGAGGGGGGGAGGGGGGGGAGGAGGGGAGGCCGAGGCAGGCTGAGGCCGAGGCAGGCTGAGGCTGAGGCTGAGGCAAGCCGAGGCAGGCTGAGGCTGAGGCTGTGGCTGCCGAAGCAGGCTGAGGTAGGCTGAGGCAAGCAGAGGCAGGCTTAGGCTGAGGCTGAAACTGAAGCAGGCTGAGGCGTCCGTACGAATCCATAAGAATCCGTGGGAATCCCCAGGAAACCTCAGGACTCAGTAGGCATCCTTAGGAATCCGCGAGAATAGTTCAGCATCCTCGGGAATCCGTAGGAATCGTCAGGATTCCCTAGGGATCCTCAGGAATACCAAGGAATCCCTAGGAATCAGGATTCTCATGGATTCGCACAATTTCTTAAGGATTCCTATGGATTCCTAAGGATGCCTTAGGAATCCCTAGGAATCCTCAGGATTGCATTGGATTCTAAGGCCGTTGCCACTGCGGCTGTCATTGCGAATGCGACTGCGACTGCGAGAACAGCAGAATTCTACAACTGGATTCTCACCTGAATAATAAGGGGAATGCTTCCAGATATGCTTATACACATCGCTGTTCGGTTGCTTTGCCGGGATGATATTTCTGTTGTGGAAAAATCTCAGAATCGACGATTGTGAAACAATCCAGGATCGAATTTGAGCAATTTCGGAATTCATGTTGGAAACTTTTGTATTTTAGAATCCTTCACATGTCCTGCGCGGCGGGCGCATTCCATCCCTCAAAACAATTTTGGTTTGGGGGGGCGTTGACAATTGCCGGACTCATTTTTGAAAATTTCCGGAACCGCTTGCGCCAAAAAGCTGGAAGAATTTCTCTGAAACGTTCTACTATCCGGAAATAATTTCTGGGCGGTCCGACGGGCACGGCCGGCTGATTCACGCACCGCGCCGCATGCGATTGAGCGCAGCGCGCGCCGCGCCCTGCGCCCGCGAACAGCACTCGAAACGGTTACCTCGAAAATCGCGCCACGGCAGCTGCGACTCACGGACTCCCCAACAGCAAAACAAAATGCAGCTTGGAATCTCCGAGGGCGCTCCGATGCGCGAAAAGTACACCGCGCACATCACGCAAAAAACCTGCGCGACGGAATGCGCTCGACCGTTCGTCCCCGGAGTCCGCGCGGAAAAACGGGATAACCTGAAAATCTTCGAAACTATCAATATTAATACTGCACGCTCTTCTGAGTCATGGCCCAGCCGGAAAAAAAACACTCTCGTAGGAGCCCAAAGGTCTCAGCTGCTGACTCCCGCAGAGAAGGTTGAGGATCCCTCCTCTGCCCGGCGGCCGCGTGCGCAACCTCGCGACGGGGCCGACGAAGTGCAACCGACGCACCTGCCTGGAGGGAGAAGCACGGCTAGGGAGGCGGCCTCGACGGTGCATGGCCCAAGAGACAGCCTCGCCCGCCTGCAGAAAACCGCGCAGGGCAAAAGGCGCCACAGGATCCCAAGAATCCCTCCTGCGGCTGTTGTAGGCCTCGGAATCCATGGTCGGACGCAGGTTTTCCCAGCCCCCAGGTGGACAATTGCTCTCATGACTTTGGCCGGAATTGTCAACGAGGAGGGGGGCAAGGGAAAGGAAAACTTGAAGCATACCATGATGGAGGGGAAGAGAAGAGGGAGGAAAACAAACCCATGACGGGCTGGTGGCCGTTGCTGCGCTTGCATGCACGACCTCCTCCCGCCCAAATCTCCGCGTATGTCGGCTTACCCATCCGTTTTCCTCATCCTCCTCCTCCTCCTACACCTCCTCCTCGAACCCAAACATCTAAGTACGTATCCCGACCCATCCTTCCCCCTCATCCTCCTCCACCTCCTCGCCCTCCCATTTCCTTCCCCTCATCCTCAGGCGGCGCATCCTGGTACACCTGCTCCACCTCGATGCCATACTCGAACGGCTGCACCCCGAGCTTCCCCAACAGCACGGCGCCCCCCGGGGAGACCTGCGGGCCGGGATGGGGGGGAGATCTCACGAGCGGCGAGCATATCGATATCCACTCGCGTGTTGGTGTATGTGAAGCTACTAACGTGGGATAAACGTGCACCGTTCGTGCACTTTTGACCCGCGGTGGCAGTTCCGGGGCCCATACGGCCACTTTTTTGTATCTCTCGATCCCCACACGTTCACTGTCCCCCGTTGCCGTCCGCCCGAATATCCATATCCACGCCCTCGCGGTCTGGACTGTGGCGCGGGGTTCCGTGGATACGCGGTCGTGTAGATACGTTCCGCGCGGAGCATCCACAAACAAAATGACACTGTAACCGCGGTGTCGGGGGCCTTGCCGGCGAGGCCGTGAATTCGGATCTGTTACCCACCAGCGAAGATCAAGGCCCCTTAAATGGGAACAGCTGTAAAACAAGGCGCTGGCGCACCCGAGAACGTTGGAGCGCGTTGTAACAAGTGGCACGCGCGCCATGGCTCTTGCACAAAAAAAGGAAGGGGTAGGAGGCGGAGTGGGCGCGCTGGCTGTTGAATGGGGTGGGCGGAGGGGGCGCGTTGGCTGGTGGATGCAGGGGTGCAGAGAGGGCGCTCGGGGTGGGGGGAGCGGTGCCGTGCCGAGATGAATGGGTCAGGGCGGAGGGGGCGGTGCCGCGCCAAAATAAAAGGGGTCGGAGCGGAGGGGGCGCGCTGGCTGAAGGGCGCGGGGAAAGCGGAGTGGGCGCGCGCGGAAGGGGCGGAGGGGGCGGTGCCGCGTCAAAATAAAAGGTGTCGGGTCAGAGGGGTGCGCCGTGCCGAAATAAACGGGTCGGGGCGGAGGGGCGCGTTGGCTTGTGAGTGGGTGGGTGGGTGGGTGGGTGGGGTGTAACAGAAAAGGTCGGGGCGGAGGGGCGCGCTGGCTGGTGGGTGGTGGGAAGTGGGGGGGGCGCGCGCGGAGGGACTGGGGGCCGTGCCGACATAAAAGGGGTCGCGGGGTGGAGGGGGCGCGCTGGCTGGTAACTGGGGGGATGCGGGGGGGTGTGCCGTGCCGAAATAAAAGCGTCGGGGCGGAGGGGCGCGCTGGCTGGTGGGTGCGGGGATGCGGCGGGGGTGTGCTGTGCCGAAATAAAAAAAGGGTCGGGGCGGAGAGGTGCGCCGTGCCGAAATAAAAGGGCCGGGGCGGGGGGCGCGCTGGCTGATGGGTGGGGGGGTGCGGGGGGATGTGCCGTGCCGAAATAAAAAGGGTCGGGGCGGAGGGGTGTGCCGTGCCGAAATAAAAGGGGCCGGGGCGGAGGGCGCGCTGGCTGGTGGGGGGGGATGCGGACGGGGTGTGCCGTGCCGAAATAAAAAGGGGTCGGGGCGGAGGGGTGCGCCGTGCCGAAATCAAAAGGGGTCGGGGCGGAGGGGGCGCGCGGGGGTGGGTGGGGCGAAATAAAAAAAGAGTCGGGGCGGAAGGGGGCGCGCTGGCTGGTGACTGGGGGGATGCGGAGGGGGTGTGCCGTGCCGAAATAAAGGGGTCGGGGCGGGGGGGCGCGCAGGCTGGTGGGTAGGAAGATGCGGAGGGGGTGTGCCGCGCCGAAATAAAAAGGGATCGGGGCGGAGGGGTGTTCCGTGCCGAGATAAAGGTGTCGGGGCGCAGGGGCGCGCTGGCTGGCGGGCGGCAGGGGGGTGCGGAGGGGGTGTGCCGTGCCGAAATAAAAAACTCGGGGCAAAGAGGTGTGACGTGCCGAAAGGTGTCGGGGCGGAGGGCGCGCTGGTTGGTGGGTTGGGGGGGATGCGGAGGGGGTGTATACAGGCGTCGGGGCGGAGGGGTGTGCCGTGCCGAAATAAAAGCGTCGGGGCGGAGGGGCGCGCTGGCTGGTGGGTGGGGGGGGATGCGGAAAGGGTGTGGAGGGGGTGTGCCGTGCCGAAATGAAAAGATCTGGGCGGAGGGGTTGTGCCGTGCCGAAATAAAGGAGTCGGGGCGGAGGGGCGCGCTTGTTGGTGGAATGTGTGGGTGATGGAAGGGGTGCCGTGCCGAAACGACCCTGTCGGCGTGTGTGAGGGGTTTCTCCGTTCGCGTCGTGCTTTCTTTCCTGCTTGACTTTCTCTAGCCGCATCCAGCTTCCACTCACCGTTCTCCCGCTCTCCGTCAGCAGAGTCCTCTTCCTTGCACATGCCGTGCCAAGCACTTGATTGAACGTCGTCAATACTTCCCTTTTCCCTTCCCCGGTGCGGGGGGTGGTGGTCCGGACCCGGGGAGGTCCCGGGGGGGCCCCCCCTCCAGATCCGATTCCCCCGGCAGCCTTCCGGGGGGTTCCCGGGGGGGGGGGGCCCGCAGATCCGACTCCCCTGGCAGCCTTCGAGAAAGCCTGGAAGGCGTTGCGAGGAGGTTCTCGTCCTCATCCTCCTCCCCCTTCTCCTCCTCCCCCTCCTCCTCCTCCTCCTCCTCCTCCTCCTCCTCCTCCTGCTCCTCCTCCCCCTCCTCCTTCACTTCCTCCAACTCATCATCATCATCCTCCTTGTCCTCTTCTCCTACTCCTGCTCCTTCTCACCTCCTCCACCTCCTCCTCCTCCTCATCCTTTCTCCTCCTCACCTTTGTCCTCCCCCTCCTTTTCCTCCTCCACCTCAAAATCATCATTATATTCCTTCACCTCTTCCTTCTTTCTCCTCTTCTTCCTGCTCCTCCTCCTCCTTCTCCTCATCCTCCTCCTCCTCATCCTCCGCATCCTCCTCCTCCTCCTCCTCGTCCTCCTCCTCCTCTTCTTCCTCCTCCTCATCCTTCCTCCTCCTGCTGCTCCTCCTCCTCCTCTCCTCGTCCTCGTCCTCGTCCTCGTCCTCGTCCTCGTCCTCGTCCTCGTCCTCGTCCTCGTCCTCGTCCTCGTCCTCGTCCTCGTCCTCGTCCTCGTCCTCCTCCTCCTCCTCCTCCTCCCCCTCCTAGCCCCTTCGATCAGGGCCGGCGGCACCGGCCGTCAGGCCTCTCCAATAAAGTGATCTGGGCTAAGGGGTTGTGCCGTGCCGAAATAAAGGGGTCGGGGCGGAGGGGCGCGCTGGTTAGTGGAATGTGTGGATGATGGAGGGGGCGCCGTTCCGAAATTAAATGGTCGGAGCTCTAGACACCCTGTGCAACAGAATAATGCTGCATTCGGGCGTAACGACGGTCACCGCGCCAGCCCCACCCACTCCCAAGTGACTTAACATTCGGCGCAGACGGGGTCCGGCAATCCTAGCAGTCCTTGCGAGGCCGGACTGGACCACTTTCAAGACACGCGGGCACAAAACGTCACGCCACCCCTCACTGGTGACGTCCGTTATGCCGGGGGGATAAACAAAGACGGGTTCCTGTCGCCGCAGGTCGAAACATTTTCAAATATCAAATATTTGTCTTCTCCCGCTGATCAGCGACCGTGCCTAGTGCACGTTGAGGCGTGGAAGAAAGACAAAGGCTGTCTTGTTGGACTTCTGTAGTCTCATAAACGACCCCCCCTACTCGCGTTATCCGCATGCATCGCCCTCCTCCCGAGGCCACGAGCCATTGCGAAGAACTATGAATCCGCGCTCCCGAAGCCACGATCCCTGGTTCAAAAACGATGGATCCGCGTACCGAGCTTCCAAGACGGCCGATGCAGGCACCCTATAACCACACGATGGCTCAAGATCCCTCGAAGACGGCCCCAAATGGTCCCAAGGCGGCCAAATATTGCCTCAAGACGGCCCAAGATGCCTCCGAGAGGGACTACAGGAGCCACCAGACAACCTCCACCATGATCCGAGGAAGCGAGGGAGAGCGCGATCTGCTGTCGCTTGCCTGGACCCTACCCCGCCCGGGAAACCCGGGGGAGGTCAACAAATCCCCCCCCCATTCCCAAGAGATCGGGGGAAGGGGGAGGGGGGGAGCCCCCCCCTACCCAGACCCCGCTCCCTGGTCCGAACCGGCTCGAATCGAATCCTTCCACCAGGGCTGGATCCAGGGCCCGATCTAGCTCTAATAGAATCCTACGAAGGCTAAATCCTGCTCTCATAGAGTCCAACGAGGGCTTGATCGTGCTCCAATGGATGGAATCCTATATATGCTGGATCCAGCTCTACGGAATCCTGCTACTAAGGCTGGACCGAACTTCCATAAAATCCGACCAGGGTTCGTTCCAACTTCGACAAGCTGATATCTCAGGTTGGAACAGCTCTAATAAGATCCCACGAGTGCTCGATACATAAGATCCTGCTATGGTCTGGATGCAGCTCTGATGAAATCCTGGCAACGCTTTTTCCAACTTCAATGCAACCCTACTAGGACTCGATCCAGCTTTACGAGATGAATCCTGCTAAGGCTGGGTCCAACTGTAATGATCCCCCCTTCCTCCTCCCCCTACCCCGGTCTGAACCGGGGGGGCGGGGGGTCTCTCAACCCCTCCCACCCTCATCCCATGTTCGAACAGGAGGGGAAGGGAGGCCCGTCCCCACGCCTCTTTGGGTTCGGAATGGGAAGCTGTTTTTACCCGCCCCGCGGTTCGAACCCTGGGGGGGGGGGGGCAATAGTGGCAGAATCCCTGGGGGGGGCTTGCCATTTGCGGCAGAACACGCTCTTTCGCCGCAGCCAAAATCACTGAGCTCCAATAATTAGTGCTCCTCACTCCTCCTCTCCTCGCTCCCGTCTGATGCTGCCGCGGCCGCGCTCCTTTTCTCTTGGCCGCGGCAGCCCGCGCCTTAGTGGTGACGCGGCGGGCTACCTCGGGAGCAGGGCGCCAGACGGCCCAGGCGAACCGCCCTCGCCTCCCTCCGACGGCCGTCGGGGGCATCACGTTGGACGCAGGAGGTGGCTTGGTCTGCCTGGTCGCTGGGTGCCAAGGGCGGCAAGCCGCAGCACTCAGGCGCGCGCCCGCTCCCATCCCCCCTCGGCGGGGGCGAGAGCCCCTGATGCATTCAGGCTAAGAAACTTTCAGGGCGTTAGCGTTGCTGGGCGGGGCCGGTGGCCCAAACAACTGCGGTCGCGGAGGTGGTGGGGTGGGGGGGGGGGGGAGCGCTCGCACTAATCTTCATGAATGACGGACTGAGTGCTCCTCACTCCTCCTCTCCTCGCTCCCGTCTGACGCTGCCGCGGCCGCGCTCCTTTTCTCTTGGCCGCGGCAGCCCGCGCCTTAGTGGCGACGCGGCGGGCTACCTCAGGAGCAGGGCGCCAGACGGCCCAGGCGAACCGCCCTCACCTCCCTCCGACGGCCGTTGGGGGCGTCACGTTGGGCGCAGGAGGTGGCTTGGTCTGCCTGGTCGCTGGGTGCCAAGGGTGGCAAGCCGCAGCACTCAGGCGCGCGCCCACTCCACGCATGCACTCCCGGCGCGCGTGACCTCCCACGCTGCGCTGAATTCGCGGAGCTGATGGGCGTCCGAGGGCCCGGGGCACGGGCATCAGAGACGACGGCGTAGCAAAGACTTTCCCCCGGCTATCAACTGTCGCTCCTTCGCGCTGAGGCCGTGGCGCTCCAGCGTGGGCACGCCATCCTGGATGTAAATGCGAGCTGTGGGCTGGTGCCTCCAACGGCCGCGAATGCATGTCTTGGAGAGACTTCCCAAGATCTTGAAGTGGTGGGCGGCCCCCCCCCGGCGCAGCGAGCACGGCCTGTGCCTGTCAGGGTCGGGCTTGATGGACTGGGCCAATCTTCTGAAGGCACGGCGGAAGCCGCCCGCACCGCGGGGGCACAGCTGGGCGCCAGCTGGGCGTCCTTGCAAAAGCTCGGCAAGGAGCGCAACAGCCTCGAGCTCGTCGATGGTGACGCGCTCGGCGGTGCCTGACCTCTTACCTCCCTTGGTGAAACCGAGGTCGAGGTGCACCGCGCCACGGCCCAGGTCAAAGGTGCATCGCCCAGCCGTCAACATGCGCTCGACGGGGCGAAGGATGCCGTTGAAGCACACTAGTACTGCCGCAGCTGTCGCTTTGTCTCCTTCCTCTAGTGCAAAGCCTGCCATCGCCAGAGCCTGCTCGGGCAACAGCGGCCGAGCACGGGAAGGGATTTCGGTCTTAGACCAGGTGCCGAACAGGTCTCCAAGAATCGTTGAGACCTCTGCGAAAACATGGAACAAAATGTTGGAGCCCCGACAACGCGTGTCCCACAAAGCTCGTGGATTCTCCAGCCGCCCAACAATCCTCGAGATACTCCCCAAGAACCTCGTCGGCGGCTGGGATCGAGACAGGCAAGGGCTCGCCAAGGCGCAGGAGCCACTGGAAAAATATATGTGCGGCCTCCAGATACCGCTGAAAAGTGCGCGGTTGGAGCTGCAATGATATCAGGGTTCCCGCTCTGCTTCGCTCGTCCCTTCTCTGCTGCCTCGTCCCACCACTGAACACTATGGCTGCCGCCATCTGCTCGGGGCGTCGGCCGGATTGAGCTCCAACCGAACAAAGACCCAAACTGGGTGGCTGGACGTGGCTAGCAGGAGCGCGTTCAAGCGCACGAGGATGGATTGAAGCTGGCGGGACTGCGACCTGCCCTTGCAGGCCACTGCTATGGAAACCTGAGAATCACAGAAATGAATACAGCTCGTGCGCATGTTCGCACGGCTCCTCATACGCCAAGACACGGCGGTCAAGAGGGCTTGCAGCTCCAAGACGTTGATGCGCGCGCCTCCCTGCTTGAAGCGCAGGCAAGTGCGCCAGAGCCAGCGATCTGCATCAACGCCTCTCCTTGGCCAACCCGCATGCTTCCGAAGGCCTCCCGTCGCGGCGCGCGCGTCGCTGCCCTTGAAGATGGCGTTCCGCGCAAGTGACTCGCAAAGGGCGCGGTGCACTTGATCGGGGGTTGCCTCGGCGGCAGGCGCGTCCAGCAGCAACTCCAGGTAGAGGCTTCCCTCCCCACCTGGGGCTCCCCAGCACTCGGCGACAGTCGGCGGCTCGCCCCAGACTCCAGCGGCCGCCAAACCTCTTCCAAGCAGGAAGGCTACCACCGGGACTGAGAAGGAGTTACCCAGCAGCGAGCACTTGACGTCCTCGTCGATAGACCCCGACTCGGACCTGGGCACGGCCCAGCTGCAATGGTTCCAGGGAAACCCTAGGCGCACAGCCCGCTCTCTGATGGTCAGAGGTCGGAGCCTGTACTTGGCGCCCGACTCCCAAGTCCTCGCCGAAGCGGCGGATGCCTCGACCTGGTTGTCCCTGCGGTACTGGTACGGCGGGTAGCGGTACTTGTTCGCCGCCCAGCGCTCACGGGCAGCCTGGTCGGCCACTCCCAGCCCCGCTGGGGAAGGTGGCGGCCTCTCGCGAGGGATGGGGCGCACAAAGGTGGCCCACGCTCCCTTCTCTCCCCGCGGACGGCGCGCACCCTGCTCGAGCTGCTCTGCCCAACTCGGCCAGCTGCCAGTGAGCACTGCCTCGATGACCTCGTCCTTCTGCTGGCACTGGAACTCTGAGGTCTCGGGCCCGAGCGGCCAGTCGACCCAGTAGAGCCTCGGCCGCTTGGCCGGACTGCCCCCGCTGGCGCAGAGCTCCACGGGCGCGACTCCCATGACCTGGTTGAATCTTCCCCTGTCGGCGGCCGTCATCGAGCTGACGTTCTCGCCCGGGGTGAATACCTGGGCATCCGGGAGGGCGGCTCGCACAAGGCCTGCTGCGCGAGGTAGCTCTTGCACCAGTCGCGCGCGGTCCTCGGCCCAACCCTGCCCAAAGGCGTTGATGCGAGCGACCCCCTGGCACGGGGGTCCCCCTATCACGAACACGACGCGCAAGTGGGGCGCCTTCGACATCACGGCCTTGATGGTTTTCAACGTTATCTTGGTCACGTCTCCGAGCTCCATCGCTGACGGCCACTGCTGATGGCTGACGCGCCGAGCCTCGGGCAGCAGCTCTGCGGTGGCGTGGGCGGCGACCTCAATCCCCAGGCGGTCGAAGGCCATCCTGCCGCCCCCGATGCCGCTGAAGAGCTCCACCAGTCCGACCTCGTCTCTCCCGGCTGCACGACCCTGGCAGAGGTCGGCCAGCGACGGGGCGACGGCTGACGGGCGAAGCTTGTTGCTCCAGCACGCGCCCCCACCGGTCTCCGAGGCGTCACTGCAGGTGACCATCGGGGAGACTGGGCATATCAGATCGAACTAATGCAACGGGAAGAGGCAGAGCGGCAGGAAGAACTCCGCGCTCACAGCTGGAGACAGATACGGCCGAGGCGGCCCCGTCCAGGCGTTGATCAGCTTCGAGACGCGCGTGAAGACGCAGGAGCACTCCCGACGGAAGCAGTCGAGGTGGCACCAGCGCCCTGCCACCACCTGCACGTCCTTCCTGCTGACCTTGGAGCACAGAAGGTGCAGCGTCAGCTGCACCGCCAGCCCTGCTCTAGCCGCGGGGATAACGACTCTCCTGTCACGGCCATCAACACAGGCGCCCAGGCGCTAGCAATGGCTGACTCTGGTGCCGTTCTTCTCGCTGAGAGGGACATCGAGGGCGCGGTACTTGGCGCGAACCGCCTGGGCGAAGCGCCCATCGTCACCGCTCTCCTCAACATGGCCCCCCTCGGCGGAGTGGGGCTCGCACGCACGCCGCTCGACCTTCTCCGCGTAGTCGGCGTCGTCGCAATACACCTGCCAGACATCGCGCATGCCTCCCCCAACTCGCAAGGCTGGCACTCCGCGGCCCTTGCGGATCCCCCTCGCCTGCGGAAGGCCGAGGGGAGACTGCAGGCCCTGCACCGGCATGCGGCGGTGCAGGTACTGGACGAGCCCCATCGCGCTCTTGTACCCCATGGGCATCGCGACCGCCCCGAGGTAGACGCTGCTCGGCCATTGCCCCTGCAGCCCGAGCCCCCGAGGCGTGAACTTGACGTCGAACGCGAACAGCGGCGCCCAGCACTTTGGGAGCCTGAACAGGTAGAAGGCGCCCTTGAGGTCGTCGAAAGACCACGTGAGCTCCTCACCTGGGCCGATGATGAGCGAGCGCCACTGTGCGAAGTAGGGAAGCGCCGCAATGTCCCCCTCGAAGTCGACCGTGAGGGAGTTGGTCGCCGTCAAGTTCATGATGAGCCTCAAGGTCCCAGGGTCACCATTCGGCGAGGGCTCTCCCTTCGGGACCCCGAAAAGCCCGTTCAGAAGGGGCTGCCCCGCCACTGCGATGAGGTCCTGCTCTCGAAGCGGCACCACCAGCCCACGTTCGAGGAGACCTCTCCCTAGGGGAATGCGCGACGGCGGCTCACACATCACCCGGCCTGGGCGTGGTCTCTCGCTGACTGACTCCAGCGGCACCAACGTGAGCTCGGGGCGACTGAACCACTCCTGCATCCTGGTGTCGCACAGGGACATGACGTCCAGCGATGCACATCGCGCAAGCGGCGGCAAGCTCGGCAGCACTCGGGACCATGAGAGGTCCTCTGCCTTCCTGACGACCTCCCCGGTGTAGGTGACCTGCCTGGACGTCAGGAAAGTGGCGGCGGTCTGCTCTGGCAACTTCGGGCCTGCTGCCAGGAAAGACTCGACCGTCCTCTCCAGGTTCCAGAACATTTGGACCTGGGTGCCACTCGGCTTCGCGCCTTTCCTCTTGACTCCGCTGGATGCGTCGCCTGGCCAGCAAGAGCGCCGTGCCGACCACATGGTGTTAAGCGCTCGCATGACCAGCTCGAGCCAGACCTCCAGCCCGTCAGGGACAGGGTGGGCTCGGTGGCGGCCCACGTCGTCTCCCTCACGCTCGAGCTGCTGTAGGCTGCAGGCTGCACTCTGCCCGTGCTCCTCGCTCCACCCGCTCTCTCCCCCGACAGCCATCGGCATGGAGCCGCGGCCGTGCGAGGCTGCCGCGCTGCAACCGACCCCTGGTGACGCCCTGAGGGGGGGGCAGCGGGCGAGGAGGGGGCCAATGGCTGGCAGCCCCAGGCCCGACAGCTCGGCTGGATCGATCAGCCCTCGAAGGGCCTCAAGCCCAGGGCACGCCTGGCCACCGCGCTGGGCTGCTGGCGTGGAGCAGCCAGGCGCCCGAGCTTGGTCCGTCTCCGCCGCCTCTCGCGTCGCCTTGATGGGCGCGAGCGAGGCGGCAGGGGGGGGCCCTCAGCGGCCCTTCTTCTTGTTGGCCTGGCGAAGGGCGAACCAATACTGAGGGGGGCCCTTCCTTGGTTCCTTGCCCTTGCCTGGCCCCGAGCCCCTTGCCTTTCCCACTGGATCTGCCCTTGGCATTCGGCTTGCCCTTGCCTCTGCCCTTGGGCCTCGCCTTCGGCGGCGGTGAGGGGGTCCGCGCCTGCCGTGCGCCGCCGCGGGGTGCGCGATCGCGATCGCCCTCCTGGAGACAACTCCTCCCCGTCCGATCCAACGTGGGCCGCAGGGCTCGCAGGGTTGCACAGCTTCCTCCTCGGCGGGGACTCCGAGAAGCGAACCCTGTCTCCTCCGCGGTTGTCGCCCGAGGGACTGCGGTCGGCCGAGGTCGCGTCTCTCGCTGGCGTCAGTGTGACACGCCCTGCGGGACTGCGCTCTCGAGAGCCGACCCCCCGCTCTGCTGGCCTCAGCTCGACGCCGCGGCTTCCTCCAGGGCCTTCCGACCCTGACCGCGGGGGCACTCCGATCACTGCCGGCCCCCCCGCGGGTGTTTGTCAATGCTGGCCACGGTTCGACCCGACCTGGCCCTCCAGCTTGCGGTAGTGCATGTCCCTCTTCTCGTTCCTGAGGAAGGCTTCGCGCTCGCGATCGTCCGCGATGCTGACGCGACCGTCGCCGACCACCGAGGCATGCCGAGCCACCTTCCACGTGCCCCCGTCGGCGTGGAGCTGCTCGATGGACTTGCGCTGCTGGATCAGCGCGTCCGTGGCAGTCCCCAGATCGGCTTCGAGAACTGCGTCGACCGCTGTTGCCAGTGTGCGCATCTCGAGCTCGTTGCGAGCGCGAAGCTTGCCCTGGCAGCTCGGCAGGTACACGCTGGTGAAGTAGTTCAGCATGCGCGGCGCCGCGTCGTCCTCGACCGCGCGCCCCTTGCTGACGAGGTAGCTGCGCATCTTCGTCAAGGCGCGCTCCGTGATAACGCCCGGCTTCCTCTCCACAAGGCGCTTGGCCTTGTCGCGCGCGGAGAGGCGGGCGTCGTGAAAACGCTTCGACGACGACCCCTCACTCGACGCGCTGCCGTCAGACTCCTCGCGGCGCTTCTTCTTCTTCTCGCGCTTCGCCTTGCGTGGAGGCGAGCCGCGAGAGCTTCCACCTCCGCCTGCAGAGCTGCCGCGCTGAGAGCTGGTGCCTCTCGACTTGGCCTTGTCCAGGATCTTGCTGCTGAGGCTGGCGCGGCCCTCGGCAGGTGCACTGGGCGCTCTGTCGCGGGCCGTCTCCCGGCGAGGCGAGTGGCTCCTCTCAGCGCTCCTTGCCTCGACCAGGGCTCCTCGCCCCCCCTCGTCCTCGGGACTGTTGGAGCGGATCCTCGCTGGCGCAGACCGCGGCCTCCCGCCCCTGCCTGCGGGGCGGCCGCGCTGGGCAGCGCGCTCGCGCAGCTCGCCCAGTCGCGCGCTCAGCCCTCGATCGCGGGCGTGAGCCGACGCGCCGCCCCCGGGCCCCTCGCGGCGGGCGTCCGACTTGGAGCCGTCGGCGCCCGTCCCGCGCTCTCCCCGATGACCAGGGGGTGGCCCAGGGGGCGAGCTCCGCTTCGCTGGCCTGCCCTGCGCGCGCCTGGCGTCCGCGATGGCCTGGTCCTCCTGGTCGCGCGTGAGCTCCTCGCCTTTGTGGCCGCGGAACGGCAGCGCGGCGCAGCGCCAGCGACCCACATGCAGCACCTGCGCGTCGACCAGGCCCTCGCCCAGGCGGCGCTCGTCGGCATGAACCGCCACCGAGCAGAAGTGCAGCACTGGAAACCTCGCCGGATCATCGAACGCCGAGGCGAGCTCCCTCCGCTGGGCGGGCTTCTCCGCGCCCATGTAGGCGGCCTCCCAAAGAGGCGGGGACTCGCCGTGCATCGGGTCGGGAACCGTGCCGTCGCCCTGCGCTGCCTGGCCGAGCACCTTGAACGTCGCCAGCCCGTCCATCTCGACCTCGATGATCGGCGGCTGGCCCTTCCTCGGGCCCGACGTGGCAGCCGTCGGCCAGGTCTCGCCGTGGTGCCACTCACCAGCTGGGCGGCCCGCTTCGCGACGTGAGTCGGCTGCGATGTCGTCGTCGTCATCGAGGCCAGCAGCCGCTCGGTCGCCAGGCGCGAGGTGCTCGCCCTTGCGCGACCCACGTCCTCCCGAGCGGGAGCGCCGCAGCGCAGACTGGCGGAGCCCTGGGGCTGAACCCCGCCGTCCGCCTCGGTTGCCTCCGCGGCTCCCTCCGCCCCCGCCGCCTTTCGGCTTGGTGGCGCCGCCGTCGGGGCGCGGTGGCGGGTGGCCGCGGGAGCGGCCTCGGCCTCCGCGCGCGCCGTCGGGCTCGCGCTTGCCTCGCACCGCCCTCGGCGCCAGCGAGGCTGGGCGGCGCAACGCGGCCGAGGCACGCCGCGCTGCAGCCGCAGGCCGCTTCTTGGGCGCTCCGCCTGCCGCGGCTCGCGCTCCCGACAGGGGACAGGCATCCACGGCTCCTCCTGCTGAGCCGCGAGCCGCGTGGCAGCGGGCCTCCCCCTGGGGGGGTCTCGCCCGCAGGCGGAAGAATCGCCCGCGCGCGGGCGCGGGTCGCGTGCCCGCGCACGGGCCGCACCTTGTTTGAACCCAAACAACTGCGGTCGCGGAGGTGGGAGGGAGAGCACTCGCACTAATCTTCATGAGTGACGGACTTTGAATAAGTGTCGCATGCTCGCCTGTTCGGGCTTCCGTCTGCTCAAGACGGCCCAAGAAGCCTCCACAATGGCCCCAAGACAGCCTATGAGGCCGCCAGGAGGATCCCAAGATGGTCCAAGAGATCATAGGATGGCCCAAGGGGCATCCAGGACGGCCCCAAAACACCCTTGGAAAGCCTTTCGACGGCCCAGGACGGCCCTACGACGGCCCCCAGACACCTACCATACAGCCGAATGGGCCACAAGACGACCAACACACAGCCCCAAGACGGCGTAACCGGGCCCGAACGCCAAGGAAAGCTCCAAGGGACCCCCAAGTACCTCACAGAAGGCCATGACAGCCCCAATACGGCCCAATTGCTTGAGACAACACATGTCACATGTAACGGCCTCACTGTTCCTCCTGTTCCTGCTCCTGCTCCTCCTCCTCGTCAAAGTGAACACAACCACCAACATCATCCTCATCCTCATCCCCAGCCTGACCCTTATCTTCATCACCACCACCATCATCATCATCATCATCATCAACATCACCACTACCAGGGCCATCATCATCATCATCATCATCATCATCATCACCACCACCACCATAATCATAATCATCATCATCATCATCATCATCATCAATATCATCAGTATCATCATCATCAACATCATCATCATCATCATCAACAGCAACAGCATCATCATCAACATCATCAACATCATCAACACCATCAACAAGCTCGCCGCCATCAATATCATCATCATCAACAACATCGCCGTCGCATTCGAATTCGTCGTCGCAATCCGTGTCATCGACAACATCGCCATCGTCATCGTCATCGTCAGCATCATCATCATCATCAGCGTCATAAGCATCATCAGCAGCATCATCACAATCATCACCAGATGCAGTAGCTTCACTATGAACAGCGACACCACCATGGGCATCATTATTATGATCATGATCGAGATCGTGATCATGATCATCCTCATCATCAACATCATCATAATCGGCATCATCGTTGCCAGCAGCATCGCCTTTACCGCCATCACCTTCATTTCCATCATTACCAACATCGTCATACTCGTCGGCACCGACATGGCAACATGGTAATCAGCATACTCCTCGTCATCATCGTCGGCAACATCATCGTCATCACCATCATCCCCATCATCAACATCACCATCGTTATCATCGTCATCCATATCATCATCGACGTCGTCACCACCATCATTGCCGTCACAATCGCCATCACCATCATCACCACCACCATCATCATCATCACCACCATCACCATCACTATCACCATTACCATCACCACCATCATCATCATCATCATCATCATCATCATTGCCGTCATCATCATCCTCAGCATCATCATCACCATCATTAGCACCGTCGCCATCGCCAACGTCATCGTCATCAACATCAGCATCCGCATCATAAATCTAATTGTTGTTCCCAAGCCTGGTGGGTAACGGTCGGTACCCCAAAAGGGGTGGGGGGCGTCTCGGTAACGGTAACGCTTGGGCTGGGTGGGGTCCGTCGGGGCGGGGGTGCGATGCCATCGCCATCATATGCGCCCGAACAACACTGTACGCCTGCGAGCACAAGAGGTGGCCTGCGATTCGTTCACGCGCGCAAAGCTTGAGAACACTGGCAAGGCACATGCGAGCACCGCAATGACCTGCGAGCGACACGCGCGCGCGCCTGCGACAACCAGACCCCAGCGCGAGCACCACAATGCATTTAGAAGCACAATAATGCGCTTGTGAACGCCACCGTCTGCTTGCGAGCACCAGAGTGCGCGCAATGAACGTCAGCGAGCACCACAATGTGGTTGCGACCGGCGTCGTCGCGAGCACCGTCGTCGACCACGTCGTCGTCGTTGTCGTTGTCGTCGTCGTCGTCGTCAAAATCGTCGTCATCGGAATCGTCGTCGTCGTGCTCCTCCGCCTCCTCCTCCTGCTCCTCGTCCTCCTCGTCCTCGTTCTCCTCCTCCGTCCCCTTCTCCTCCTCCTCCTCCTCCTCCTGTTGCTCCTCCTCCTATTCTTCTCCCTCCCCCTCCGCCTCCCCCCCTCCTCCTACTCCTCCTCCTCCTCTTGTTCCTCCTCCTCCTCCTCTTCCTCCCCCTCCTCCTGCCCCTCATCCTCCTCCTCCTCCTCCTGCTCCTCCTCCCCCTCCTCTTCCTCGTCCCCCTCCCCATCCCATCCTTCCCCCCCAGGCTGAGGCTGCGAGTGTAGCCTGGCCACAAGGAGCCTCAAATAAGGAACGAAGGGAGTTGTGGCCACGAAAAGCTCCGAGCATCAGCAGATTCCACGACGATGGGGCGAGGAAAACGGCCTAGAAATGAACCCACAGAGCAGGCGGACGGCGGTGAGCAGGGCAACCGAAGACGCCGACCAGAACTACGAGTACAACGACAACGACCACAACGACACACGACGACGATATACGACGACGACCACGACCACGACGACGACCACGATTCACAATGACGACGACGAAGACGACGCCGCTGACGACGACGACGGCGAGGGCGGCAGCGGCGGCGGCGGCGGCGGCGACGTCTTCGAACGACGAGGTTGACGACGGTGGCGGCGGCAGCAGCGTCAGCGACAGGATGGCAACCATCGCGCTTGCAGCGGCGTCTGCGTGCCGGACACTTACCTCAACCTTGCTGCTCCTTACCTCCCTCGTCATTGATCGTCGTCGCCGTCCTCATCCTCCTCATTTCCCTCCTCTTGCTCATCCCTTTCTCGCGACTTCCACATTCACCTGCGAAATCCGTAACGTGCATGCGAAAAACACAACGCCTGCGAGCACGACGCGCATGCACAACAGCACGCCAGACCCTGTCAGAATCTTCAAAGGGCGAGCAGCGCAACGCGTGCTCGAGCACCACCGATAAGCCTGCATGTGCCACGGCAACACGTGAGAATCACAATCTACCTGTGCGCATCACAACATACCTTCGGGCACCTGCATGTCGGGGGGGTCCAAGCCTTCCCAATGTACGATCGTTGCCGTTACTGAGGGAAAATATGTGGCCGAGCTAGCAAGCATTACCCGTCATCATCATCATCATCATCATCATCATCATCATCAGCATCATCATCATCATCATCATCATCATCATCATCATCATCATCATCATCACTATCATCACTATCATCATCATCCTCTTCACCCCCCTCCTCATCCTCCTCCTCCTCATCATCATTACCATCATCATCATCATCATCATCATCAGCAGCAGCATCATCATTATCATCATTACCATTATCTGCCGAAGTGTCATCAACGGACACATCAACATCAACACCATGATCATCATCATCTTCATCGTCGCCGTCGCCGCCGTCACCGTCGGCATCATCCTCATCGGCATCATCGTCATCGACATCGTGATCGTCATCGTCATCAGCATACCCAGTCATCGTCAGCAACGTCATGGCCATCGTTATCGTCATCCGCATCACCGTAAGCATCGCCATCATCATCATCGTCGTCATCATCATGACCACCACCATCACTATCACCATCAGTATCATCAGCATCACCATCAGCCTCATCATCATCATCATCAGTGTCATCATCCTCATCATCAACACCATCATCATCGCCATCATCATAATCAGTGTCAGCATCACCAAAAACATCAACACTATCGCCATCATCAACACCTCATCATCATAGTGATCACCATTATTATCACCACCATCACCATCATCGTCATCGACATCGCCATCATCATCACCAGTACTAGCATCAGCATCAACAACATCAACAACATCATCATGACGATCATCATCATCATCATCATCATCATCATCATCATCATCATCATCATCATGAACATCATCATCATTACCATCATCAACATGAACACTACCACCATCATCATCATCGTCGTCATCGGCATTGTTACCGTTACCGCCATCATCACCGTAGCCACCATCACCACCACCACCACCATCATCATCATCATCACCACCACCACCATCATCATCATCAACATCATCATCATCATCATTTGTAGAAAATCATCACCACCGTCGTCGTCACCGTCATCGTCATCACCTTCTCCCGCCCTCGACAATCGCCTCCCCAAACGCTGGGCTGGCATGGTGGTGGGACGTTGCCGCAAACAACTGAGTAGTTGGGACTGGGACGAAGCCCAACAACGACCGTCGTTCAAAACTAAAGCCCGCAACGCCCGCTGTTGGGCGACGGTCGACGTCCGTCCCAAATTGACAACCTCCGCGGCGAGACCGAGAGCGAGCCAGACTCAGAGCGGACGGGAACTGCTGCCAGCCTTGAACGAGAGGTATGGCGACACCAATCCCCATACTATGTCGACTGGCCAAATCATGTAGCGCTGAACTCGGGGATATACGATACGGAGACGCCCATTTTCGGCAAGGTTCGTCCGAATGAACCTCTGGGGGTGTATCCCCGACTTCCCCTTCGTGTCTAAACGGTCAGCTTTGCGGGGCGACAAATCGCCTGCGAATTCCCGCCCATGACCGTCCCGTACACCTCCACGAAGCCCAACCGCCTTGGCATGAAGGAGACGGGTCCTGAGCACTGGCCCACGGCTGGCGCGAGTTCGGCCGCCCCCGCAGTCAGACGGGGGGGGGGTCGAGGCGCCGGGCGGACAATGCAGTTCCCGGACCCCTGTGGCCCAGGGGGGGGGGCATCGGCGCTGGGAGGGTGGGCAGGATCGGCGGCCCCCGTGCCTGGAGGGGAGAGAGAGAGGGGGAGAGGGAACGAGGGGGGGGGAGAACGGGAGAGAGAGAGAGAGGAGAAAGAGAGAGAGAGAGAGAGCGAGGATGAACAAAAGAAACGAAATATAAAGATAGATTGTAGCGCTTTGCCGACCGATCGTCATATTAGGCAAGCGTGTCTTGGCATCGACGGCTTGTTCTGCTCTTTGATCCTCTTCTCCGAGTAGCTCATGAGAAGCTAACCTGCTCAACAAGTCCGCTAAGCGGAACTATTCTAAACAATGTTTGATATACCCGCATGCGCGCGCACGGCAGGCCCGCCCGGCTGGCCGGCGCGCGCGCTTTTGCTCCAGTGGCTATACCCAGCTGCGGAGACAGCCCCTCCGCATGACCCATGCCCCATCATCGCTCCGCGAGGGAAAACAATGGAGGGCTGTACAAAAAGGCGAAAATAATGTTAGCAATGACTCCCCACGCGGGCACCTAGGCGACATCGTCGCGCCATGGTGGGCGCCGGCGCGTTGGCCCGCATCCTAAGCAGAAGAGGCGGGACATGCCGAACCACCTTCTGCAAGTCTGGAGAGCGTCGGACGGCCTTCGCCCAGTCCCCCAGGGCCACTTTGGGCACCCCGCCGCGCCAACCCCAGAAAGCATTTTACGGCGCAAGCGACAGGGGAGGGGGGAGGGAGCGCCCCCGTCACCACCCAAGGCGGCCAGTCGAGGGCCCCCCGACACACCCCGCCCCGGAGTGGCATCTGAGGCGCGCGCCGCTCAGCCACCAACTCACAACGCTACTGGACCGTCAATGACCTCGGCGCGCCTGCGGTTCATATCCGCGCTCCGCGGGGGCCAGGTCAGGCCGAGACATCGTCTCGGCCTCTCGCCCGCGCCCGCCGCCTGAGCCTCGCTCTCCCACCGCTGATCGCCGCGGCGGCCGCCGCGACTGGCGCCCCGACCCCGGTCGACAAGCGGGGCCCGCCAGCCAGTCCAGCTCGAAGAGGGCGACCGGGATGTCCAGCGGTCAGCTGCACCGGCGCGCCAGGGGGCTCGCGAAGACGCCGCTTGGCCCTGCCGCCACTGGCTATAGTCGCGATGCCACGGCGCGGCGGACTTTTTCCACGGCTGCCGGGGCCGTCGGCGCAGTCGGCGCAGGGGGCGCGGGCGTCAGCCTCGAAGCGAGTTCGCCAGTCTGACCCCAGTTCCGAGTTGGCCGCGGCACGACCCTCTGCCATGGGGGCGCGCCAGGCGACGCGCGCCAATCATTCCCGGGAGATCTGACGATCTCGAGTGGGCCACGCTGCCGGAATGCCCGCAATGGCATACTCTGACCCAGCCGCCACTCCGTCGGCTTCCACGCCCGAAGGCGCGCGGTGGAGGCCTGGCCAAGCGGCCGCTTCCTGAACCCCAACGTTGGCCTCCGACGCCAATTCCGCATTGCGCGCCGCCGCCGCCATTTGGCCTTGACTGGCCCCCCGGAAAGCAGAAGCGGCCTTTCAGAAACAGCCTCAGCAACAGCTCGCGCCTGCCTCTCCACCGCCTCCCTTGCCTCGAATCGGCGCGCCGTGTTTTTCATCGCAGCATGGGCCCGCTCGGCTCTATCAGCCCTTGCAAGACGCAAGCGCTCCTCGGGGCGTTCCAAGGCGCGAGCAGCAGCCTGGCGTCTTCCCCCATGTGCAATCTCGCCGCTGCCCTCTGCTGGAGTTTCGCGATCGCGGCCTGCTCCTGCGCGCGCGCCATCTCTCTGTCGCGACCTCCCATCAGGATGGCGCGCTTCTTTTCTTGCACCTCCCCCCATTCGCGGCGGCAGAGGGCCGCGCAATTATGCGCGCTGGGAACGACGCAGCCAAGGCGCAGAAAACTTAAGTCGCATTCGAGGCAGTTCACTGAGCCCGCCGAGCAAACGGGCTTCCTGAATTTGCCAGGCATTCTGGGACATCTGAACTCTGGGGCGCCGGCACTGTCGACCGCCTCGTGGCAACAATTTCTCACGCGCGATAGCGCGAGTCGTGCGAGCGAGCCGTGAGCGCCAATCGCGACGACGCCCCCGACGTCGCCCGTGGCCCCCGTTACCTGGCGGACATTCCAGATCGGGCCCTCGGCGAACGGGTCCTTGAGATAGAGGTCCTGGTGGGGCTTACCATCAGGTCGCCCCGAGCGACTCGTCCCAGTTCCCTCGGGCGACGGTGGCGCCATGCGACTTGCGTCTCGCACTGCGGCCATCTCCAGACCCGCATTGCTCGACTCTTCTGGTGGGCTTACCATTCTCGGTCGATTGATAGCCGGCGACTTTGACAAAATCACAGCGCCTCGGGGTTGTTTCACCGACGGCGTCCGTGGAATGCCCCCAGGAACGGGCCCTCGCGGGGGCAGCAGCGTCGAATTTCTAACTGGACATGACCCCGTGCTCCTGAAAAAATTGCTCGTCTAAACCATCGGTTGAACGATTGCTTCCATCCTCGCGCGTACCGAGGACAGCGTCGAGCGTCGAGGAAGTAAGGTCCAATGCGTCGTCGTCCGAAGGTGCGTCGATGGGTAGTATTGCTGCGCCTACGTGGGGGTGCTTTCCCATCCGAGGCGCATCTGGCCGAAAGGGAGAGCTGTCGCCGCTAGACACGGCGACAGAAGAGTTCACGCTCGGATTCTGCGATGAGCGTAAGTCGGGCACATGACGTCGTCAGGGACTTGAACGACGACGTTTGCCGCTTCCTTAAAGCCATGTGGATGTTCTGATGCACCAAGAATATCGCCATCAGTTCCTGAAGCGGGGTGTATCCTGGCCTTGTGGGAAAAAAAATCGGCTGATAGCCAGCGCATTGCCTATCCATCTTCATACTCGGCGAAGGCGTCCTCGCATTGATCGGTTGTTCTGCGTGTTGATTTTCTTCTTCTAGTAGCTCGCGAGAAACTGACCTCCCACTACGGACAGGTGATTACATGGCTAAGTAACTCCGTTCAGCGGAATTGCTCTCAGCAGTGTACGATGTACCCGTGCACGCGTGCGTATGGCATGCCCGCCCGGACGGCCGGCGCGCGCTTCTGCTTGACTAGCTATACGCCGCTGCGGAGACAGTCCCTCCGCACGATCCATGCCCTACCAACACTCCGCAAGGGAAAAGAGTGGAGGGCTGTAAAAAAACGAAACGAGTCTTAGTAATGACTCCCCCCGCGGGCACCTAGCGTGAAATCGTCACGCCAGGCCGGGGGTCAGCACATTGGCCCACATCCCAAGCAGAAAAGGCGGGACATACCGAACAGCCTTCAGCAAGTCCGGGGAGCGTCGGACAGCCTTCCCCCCTTCCCCCGGGGCCTCTTTGGGCCCCCCGCCGCGCCAACCCCTACCAACACTCTGCAAGGGGAACAAAAATGGAGGGCTGTCTAAATAGGCGAAGGGAGTGTTAGTAACGACTATAGCACGGTATCGAATACCATGGGAGGCGGGGGGATCGACGAAAGAGGGGACGGAGAGGAGGAGCGAACAAGGAATGGGACAAACATAGAGACAGAGGGACGATGAGGACGGTGCCTTGTCGCCCCTCTTCAGCACAGGCGTTTCGGTGATCAACTCAATCTGTCCCTTCACGATCTTGGTCCCGATGTTCAAGGCCTGCCGGCACGGGCACAGCTCCAACTGAGACGATCTGGAGATTGAGACAAGAGATCCTCCTCCTGCTCCTCCTCCTCCTCCTCCACCCTCTCCTGCTCACCTCTCCTCTTCGTCCTCACCTCTCCTCTCCTCTCCTGCTCATCCTCCCCATCAGGACAGGAACGAAGGAAAAGCAGAGCAGGCGGAGGAGGCAGAAAAGTTGCTTGATCGGCCTGTGACGTAGCTTAAGCGTTCACTTGGTGTTGGCTTCAGCTACGCCAGCAACACCACGTAGAAGTACACTTGTTCTGTTAGTGCGTCTCGTCGAACGGGGGCTCGCCCGCAGCGCGAACGGATGCAATCGTCGGTCCTAACGGCTGCAGCGAACGGTTTGGGATAAGGGCATAGGGGGAAGTGAAGCCATGGGTGTCGAGGGTCACTCGGATCGGTCTCGCATCGACACCCACGGCAAGGGTTGGCCGCTTTTTCGCTCTGCACTCACCCCGTGGACCTAATGTGCCCAACGCCTGAGCCTACATTCACCCTGGTGCGAGGGTCGCCAAATAGCCATAATCGACAGCACTCCTGTGATGGGTGTGGCCAGCCCGCCGTACATGTCTGTTTTCGACTCCCATCAAGGGAATACGTGGTAAGGTATGGAACCCATGACGAGGTGAAACAATCATGGTTCCGATACACTACAAGTCCAGCGCGTGATCAAGGTCACTCCTGACACAGGCAGTCTCTTCAGGTATCCCCCAGTATCATCGCGGTGTCGACGTACTGATCGCGTTCATGTCTCATTAGTAATACGAACCACGCCCAAACGCGCTAACGTGCGCATCGCTGGCCAAACTCTGAGTCATGATCGCATTTGTAGAGGGATCCGACCTCGTGTGTTCTATCCCTCTGGGGTTACGGGAGACGGCAGACCTTCTTTCGTAACGCTTCGTATTCATCCAGTGACCAAAGCCGCTGCGCCTGGAGACGCGGTACCCGCTGCTAGTCCTCCCAAAACTGCGGTTCCGGGACATCATGACCAGAGCTTTGAATCGCTGCAGAAGCTCACCATCTCCAACTGGCGGGGGTGAGCTATACTCCCTTGGTACCAAGGTGGGAACATGTCAGCACAGCTGCCAAATATCTCGCACAGCTTACAGCAGCCTTCTTCATTCGGACCCCAGCGTTGCTTTCCCCATTCGCGCGGTGCGTCTCAACAGGTCTCTGCGCTGCCGCCTTTACATTCAAGCGCAGTTCAGTTTGAACCAGACACTGTCGTGCGTTCACCCGTTTTCAGCTGCCTCATGCTTGACCGAACGCGACTTACATATACGCACACAAGGCGAACAGCTCGGTCGCACGCAGCTATGGTGTGAGAGTTCCCCAGCAGCCCGGCTGACGACCTGGATGTCTTTAGGTTTTCCGAGCGTTCTGCCTTGCACGCCGTGCCTGCTACTCGCTGCTACCTGCTCTTGGCTTACTCCATGCGGCGGCCAGGTCACCTGAATAGGGCCGAGTTTCTGTTTGGGAGGTAGGCACGACTAAGTCTGTTCCACGGGCCCGTTCGCGCCCATATTGTTAGGGTCTATCAGGTAGAATGCCCGTGTCGGGATGTAGCTTCTATATGCAAAGACCCGCAAGCACCGCGATGTAGCAAGCGCCGCCCTTGGGCGTCCTTCCTCCTCGTTCCCAAGAGGCCCCAGGAAGACTACAGAAGCCACAAGAGGCCCCATGATGGTCCAGGATGCCCAAGACAATGCAGGAAGTTTCAGGAAGCCGCGAGGGGCCCAGGAAGGTGTTGGGAAGCCCCAGGAAGTCCCAGGAGACCACAGAAGGCCCGAGGACGGCCCAGGAGGCCAAAGGAGGCCCCTCCTGCACAAGAGTCCCCAAGCTGCCCGAGGAGGCCAAAGGAGGCTCTTCGAGCCCTGGGACGCGCCAGGAGGTCCCAACAGGCCAACATGTACCCCAAGCGGGCCTGAGACGTTTTAGGATGCCGTCAATGTTTACCACGCTCACTCGTACTCAGATCCACTCACTCTAAGACCAATTGATTCTCGGGCACACTCGTGCTTGGACTGGCTCCCAGTCCGATCCACTCATACCAATCGACTCAGACTCGCTCACGTGCAAACTCACTGACACCGAGATTCACCCATACCCGAGCCCACGCATACCAATACAACTCATACTCATACTCGTTCACACCACTATTGTACATCGCTCATACTCGTTCGTGCCGAGCCACTCACTCGCAGATTCATAACCGCTCGCGTCCAACCTCGCTTACACCCAAACACCCATACCTAGACAACCACCCTTCGGATGATAAGAAGGTTGGTGGGGGGAGAAAGTACACATTGACGACAACTGCACTGGCGGCGATGGTGACGATGCTGGTGATGCGCCCTCGAGATGACGACGACGCGTGGTGGCGATGCTGCGTCGCGATGTGGACCCACTATCGATCACACTCGATCGACCTCACCATCGTGAAACCACCGGGTAACCATAAGGCCAAATACATGCCACCACTACTGTGCCGTGGTGGATGGTGCTGAATGTGATGGCTGGCTGCTGATGGCAAGGTGATGGCTGCAGTGGTGATGAGTGCGGCGGCGACAACAACTGTGGCAATGCTGAGTGCGGGCCATTATCGGAACATTATCGGCCCAAGTAAAATCCACCACCACTGTGCTGCGATTGCAATGTGACGATGCGGCGTCGCGATATCATCTCACTATCGATCCCACTGGATCGACCTCACCATCGAGACACCACTCGGGCACCATGAGGCAAAGAAAATGAAATCACTACTGTGCTGTGATGGTTGGTGCTGAATGTAATCCCCGCCCAAATGTTCCGGCCCACGGCCCCGCGCCCTCCGAGGGCCAAGAGACAAAAAAGGGACGGAAGAGGGTGCGGGGGACGGAAAACAAGAAGAAAGGCGAAGAAAGAGTCGGAGGGAGAACAGACAGAGCGGAACCGGTAATAAGCAGGAGAATGTGCGGACACCGACGGCACACCGACGGGACATTTGGCGTATCTCAATATCGATCCCACAGTCGGTCATACAATCGATCTCACTATTGATATATCTCTTTGTCGATTTCACTCCGTCGCATCCACTATCGGTACCACTATCGAACTCACTCTCGATCTTACTACCGACCTCACTATCGAATTCGCCCGAAGCTTCGAATTCGGGTTCCCTCATCCTCGCACTCGTGGTGTCATTTATTGTGCCTGGGGACGCTCGCGGTCACAAGTGAAATCGCCTGGCCGGATATGTGTGTCTATCGGACACCATCAGAAAACCAATCGGGACACCAATCGGGACTCCGACGGAACACCAATCGAGACACTGACGGGACACCGACGCGACATCATCCGCTCAATCTCACAGTCGATCCCGTGGCCGGAGATACTGACATTGAAAACCAGTTGGCGTATCGGTTTCTCTGCGACCTCCCACTATGGACACCACCAACACACCATGGAGACACCATCGAGACACCACCAAGAAACCATCAGGACACCCATCGGGACACCCATCGGGACACCAATCGGGACACCAATCGGGACACCACTCGGGGCACCTATCGGGACACCACCAGAACACCACCGAGACACAATCGAAACACCACCAGGACACCATCAGGGCACCAATTGGGATACCAATCGAAACACCAATCGGGGCACCAATCAGGACACCACCAGCTCACCATCGATGTCACTGTTGACCGAATTATCGATCTCATTATCGATCTCACTATCGGCCTCACTCGATCGATCCAACCATCGCTCTCACTCGATCGATCTCACTGTTGATCGCACTTTAGATCTGACTGGTGATCCCACTATCGATCCCTCTATCGATCTCACTATCGATCACACTATCGGTCTCACTATCGATCTCACCACGGGACACCACGGGACACCAAAGGGACACCGACGGGGCACCCGCGGGACACCGACGGGACACCGACGGGGCACCATCGGCATACCATCGGGACATCAATCGATCTCCCTTTCGATCCCACTGTCGATCTCACTCGCTTGATTTCACTATCGATCTCACTCGATCGATCTCACTATCGATCTCACGATCGCTCTCACTGCCGATCTCACTATCGATATCCCTACCGACCTCATTATCGATCTCACCATCGATCCTACCACGTGACACCACTAGACACCGACGGGGCACCGACAAGACACCCGCGGGACACCGACGGGTCACCGACGGGACACCACGGTACACCATGGGACACCATCGGGGCGATCTCCCTCTCGATCTCACTATCGATCTCACTCTCGGTCTTACCATCGATCTCACTCGGTAGATCCCACTATCGATCTCACCATCGGCCTCACTATCGATCTCACCACAGGACGCCGACGGGACACCGACGGCACACCGACGGGACACCAACGGGACACCACGGGACAACGACGGGACACCAAAGGGACACCGACAGGACAACGACGGGGAAACAGCGAGACAGCCACGGAACACCAACGGCACACCGACGGGACACCACGACGGAACAACCTGACCACCGCCCGCCCACCGCGGAGGAGAGGCGGACAGCGACGGGACAACACGGCGGGACAACCCGGCCACCACCCGGCCACCACCCGCCCACCGGGGAAGGAGGAGCGGCGGTCAACGGCTCTTGACCCGCCCTAGCCACAGCGGAGTCATTCCTCTCACCCGCCCGCGCAGCTTCGCCTCGCCCGCACGCACGACACGAACCCGAAACCGAAACCGATTTCCCGTTGGGGGGCTCTCCGTACCACTTCGATCTCACCCCCCAACCTTCGATTTTCTCAGACGCACGGACAGACTCGATCGCACCCGGTCGCTCTGACTCCTGACTTGCCCACGCCCAGGTCAACCCATTCTGAGCCACTTTGATCATACTCAGTCTCAAGAGTGCTAAGACATAAGTGTCACCAGGCCCCCTCCGATTCTGACTCTGTGAAAATTAGAACCTCTCAGAACCGTATTCCGAAATTTGTAATACCTATACGACCACCCTGCGGGTGATAAGGAGGTTGGGGGGGCCCAGCAATGGGCAACAGTGGTGAATGTTGTTGTGACAATGCCAGTGGAGATAGTTGCGATGGGCTGCGGTCCGACGGCGACGACGACCACGACGCCGATGGTCATGGCTGATCATGGCCCCCAAGACCCTCGAAGGATGAGGAAGCTGATATGGGGAGGAGGAGGAGGAGGGAAAAGGAGAGGTCCAGAACCGAGGGGTGCGTGGTGGAGGAGAACCTGAGAGAAGACCTCATTCGCTGTCTCATTCGGTCTCACTACCGATCTCACAATCGATATCACTATCTACGTCGTCATCATCATCATCGACATCACCATTAACATCATCATCATCATCATCGTCATCATCATCATCAGCATCATCAGCATCATCATCATCATCAATGTCGTCATCATCATCACAATCATCATCACCATCATGGCCATCATCACCATCAGCATCGCACAATCGATCTCACATTCGGTCTCACTATCGACATCACAATCGATCTCACAATCGACGTCATCATCATCATCATCATCATCATCATCATCATCATCATCATCATCATCATCATCATCATCAACGACACCAACATCATCATCATCGCCATTATCAGCATCATCATCATCATTACCATCATCGACATCATCATCATCATCATCATCATCATCATCATCATCATCATCATCATCATCATCACAATCATCATCATCATCATCATCATCATCATCATCATCATAATCATCATCATCATCAGCATCATCATCATCATAATCATCCACGTCATCATCGGGACACCGAAGGGACACCAGCGGGACACCGGCGGGACACCGCGCGGCACCGGCCGCCCGGTCAAAATTATTTTGCCCCGGCCGCGCCTCAGCCACACGGGACACCAGCGAGACACCGGCGAGACACCGCGGGGCACCGGCCGCCCGGTCAAGGTTCTTTTGCTCCGGCCGCGCCTCAGCCACAGGAGACTTTCTCTCGCCCGCCCACGCAGCTTCGCCTCGCCCGCACGGCACGCACGAACACGAAACCGAAATCGATTTCCCGGAAGGGGGGCTCTCCGTTCCACTTCGATCTCACCCCCCAACCTCCGACTCTGGCTCACTCCCGTACGTGCAACCGCTCTCACATTCGATCATACTCAATCTCGCTCACGCGCAGACTGCCCGTACTCGCACAATCCCGAAGGAACGCAACACACATACTGATCGAATCGTGATCTCCCGACGTCTCCACCCCGTCCCACAGGACTGGCTTCGCGCCACGGGCTGTTTTGTTGCATGCCCCCACGGCCCGAACAGCACCCCCCAGGACGCCGCAGCTGCGAAATGTACTTTGAACACGTCGGGGGTGCATCACGAGTGACGAGCACATCCATATCCATGCCCTTTCGATCTGAGAGAGCGACTTCTGTGTACGCTTCACTGGTGCAAACATCCTTTTCCCCTCTCGATAATCCCCTTGCCAGAACGGGGACCCCCCCCGCGAGAACCTCTTCCCCCCTACCCCCCCTTCTTCACTGTCAGGGGGGGGGTTCGACCAACCCCCCACGCAGCCAACAAACGACGCCGACGACGGGCGTCGTCGTCGCCGTCGCCGTCGTCGTAGTCGTCGTCATCGTCGTGGGCGAGTTGGACGGGCGAGATACGTCGGCGAATCGGTCGGGCGGGCGAGCGAGACATGTTGTCGTCGTCATCGTCGCCGTCGTCACCTCGTCGTCGTCGTCTCTTGCCGGTTCGGTGCAAGAGGGGGATTCGAACCCCTCCCTGGGGGAGGAGCGAGTTGGACGCGTGGTCGTCGTGGGCAAGTCGGTCGGCGGGAAGGCGGGACACGTCGTCATCGTCGTCATCGTCGACATCGTCGCCCTCGTCGTCTTTGTTTGCCTGCGCCGGGTGGGTTCGTCCCCCCCTCCACAACTCTTAATTTCGATGGGGATGGGTGGAGAAGGGCGGGGGTTTCAACCCCCGGGGGGCTTTTGAGGAGGGGATCGCACCCAACTTCCATCTTCCGCCCATCGTACACAGACGACGGTCGTGTCGTTCGCGGTGTGTACACCGAGGCGCGATCCCACGGATACGCGATCCCCCGGATGCGTTCCCCGCGTGGCATCCCCGCAACGCCGCACGGCCCATTCGCGTCGTGACGACGTCGACCTTGGTTTCTGCCGTCGCGTGGATCGCTCAACCTTGCTAAGACGGATCCTTTGATGTCGACCGATCCTGGACCACCGGCGGCGTTCAACCTTCAACGCCCGCGACGGGGTCGCCGCAGCGTCGACACGACACGAACCTCCGCATGCATCCAGGCCGAGAAGTCCAGACCGCGAGGACGTGCCCACGAGTGCACAGTCGAAACATGACCACACGAACGCGGGTCGAGGACATCAGCACCTTCGAGAAGGCCCAAGGCCCCGTGGAGGTCCCCCATACGAGGAACATCCCCCAAGGTGGAGAGCCAACCCAAACGCGAAGAACATGAGGGTGCCCGTCCGACGCTAAGGCTATTCTGAATCGTCGTGCCAACTGAACCGCAGGGGAAGGACGCCTGGAAGAAGGCCGTCTGCGACGGGTCCATGCCAGTGGGGCCGGCGGGCAGCGACAGGTCGCACTGCGCTACCTGGCCAGCCTTCGCGGCTGCCGGCTGCCTGCGGCGCGGGCGGCCCCGCGCGGAGGGCGCGGGGCGCAGTGTGGGCCGCGGGGCGGGAGGGCGGAGTCACCGGCGTCCACGGCGACGGCAGGACCGAAAGCTGGCTCAAGCCGACGGGCCGTCTATCGTCAATCGTGCTGCAACCACGCACCCGGAACGCTGAATAAGAAACGAAGTGAACGAAGTGGCTTTTCTGGCCGCGGCGGGCCTCGGCCACGAGTAGGCTCGCCGACCTGGACCTGAGGAGAAGGCCCGAAAAGCAGAGCCCCTCGCGAGCCCAAAGTGTGTGTGTGTGTGTGCGTGTGTGAGTGTGAGTGTGAGTGTCAGTGTGAGTGTGAGTGTGAGTGTGTGTGTGTGTGTGTGTTTGTTTCTGTTTCCATAACTGCACAACAGCGCGGCGACGCCGCCGAGTCGGACCGCCTGCGTGCGACTGACTCTATCGCCGCTGTCCACTGCACGGTGCGGATTCTTGGGTCGGTGTTGGACGGTCGCCGCTGGGGCCCCCCTGGCGGCGCCTCCGCGGCTCCAGCGCCGCCCGTCCAGCGCCGACCCAAGAATTCCGCGCGGACCGCCGAAAATGTATGCTTATGCTGAGTTCTTGTCTTCGAAAATGTGCCGTGCGTGTGGAATGCCGTGCGCGCGGAACCCCATGCGCGCGAAACCCCATGAGCGTTGGGGGGATTGTCCTGTTCGCGCGGCTTCGGGGGTTGTACCTGCGGTCTGGGGGGGGCGGCTCCCTGTCGCCGGGGGCTGGTTCTTCTACTGGTCTGCGGCCAGCTCCCTGCAGCCCAAGGGCAAGTCCTTGTAGCCCCACGACGGCATTTGTTTCGTATCATCGGCCTCGGTGGGCCCTTGCTGGCCCTGCGACCGTCAAAAACGACGCAGGATGACAAGATAATACTCTGGAAGAGATCTTGACCTTTGTGCAACCACTTTGTCGGATGCCTGGGTCTAGGTGCGGCTCCGTGCAGTCGGAGTCCCGTGTCTCAGAACTTCTGAGGGACACGCGTACGCGGATGGGTGGCCCATTTTCAAGACGTGGCCCTCGCCCAACACCGCGTACACTCGCCTTCTGAACACAAACCTAAACGGATGTTCGGGGAGTTCGGACTTAAATTACGCTCTGGCTTAAGAGGTCCTTTGGTTCAATACGCCGAAACAACTTTGAATGTGCAACGGGTTCAATGCAGGCGGATGGCTTACTTCCGGACAACAGATTAAGCTCGGGAACTTTTATCATGTGCAGAGGCCACGTAAGAGGATGGAGAGGCCACTCCTTTTCAAAATGGGACTATGGTATCTCCCTCATATAGCTGAAACCATGGAGGCTGGCTCCTTTTCAAAACGGGGGTCTCGCCTGAGGGACATGCCCAGGGAGGCGCCCGTCGTTCGACTGGGCACCCCCCGCAATGAAAAGAAGCACGGGCATGGACTTCTGAGGAAGGTACTTCGAACGGAAGGGTGTACTGCAGCATCGTTGATTCCTCCTGAGTTTGCAGCCGCCGCATGTCTCAAAGATGCAAGAACTTGCATTCCGCCGCAAAGGAGTCTAGAAGTTGGGCTGCGAAAGAGTGGCCTAAACAAAACTAGAAACTAACATTTTCTTGAAACGCCAGTCACTTCATCCGTGTTGCAGGCGGTAACTGCCCATTCCCCCATGGAGGCCTCCCTAAGGGGACCAAGTGGGATCGGAGGATCGCGCCGTATCGCCGATGCAATACCGACATGCGCCGAATCGCCGATCCATCGGCGATGTGGAGCGATCCTGCGGCCCCAGCTGCACGTGTCGGAGGCCTGGGTCCGCTCCGCATCGTCCTTCTCATCCTCCTCCCCTTCCCCCGCCCCCTTCCTGCCTGAACTTGCTCACCACCTCCCTCACGTCGTCCAGGCTGCAGTCCGTGGCGAAGATGAAGCCCATGTTGCCTTGGCTGGGCGGAACGCTGCGCGGCCGGGGAGGGGGGGGGAGGCGGACGGCCCCTGGGGCCAAGAGACAACCTAGCTCCGCCGTGCGGCCGCGGAGGGCCCCCTGGACGGGGCAGAAGGCGGCTCTGCCGACCGACCCTCCGAAGGCCGGGAGGCCGCTTGGTCGAACAGGCCGGCAAGGCTGCAGCTGGCCGAGGAGGACAGGGGAAGGCGCGCCGGTCCCTGCAGGAAGATGATCGCCTCATCGGGGCGAACCTCGAGCGCGATCAACGGACGTGCGTGATCAGCACCGCTGGCACGCCGTACAATGCACGATTGCGTCGCAGGACTAGCTGTAGACACGTATGCATGCAAGCGTGCATCTCGGGGGCGTCCAAGATGGGAGGTTCCACAAGACATGGCCCCAGGCCAGAGCGCGGACCAGGGAGGGATCAGGGGACCCGTTGGAAAGAAAAAAGGGAGGAGACCATGGAACCTGGGGAGATTCTATGGCCCTGGCCATGAGATCCGCACGCACGCATCTCTCGTCCTTACCCCCCTCTTGGACGCCCCCCGAACCTCCGCTGCGCCCTCCCGCCGCAGGCCCGGGCCCCGAGCCTGTCGCGGCCGCCCCTATGGCGAGCAGTAAAGGGCTGGGGCCGCCGCCGCCGAGGGCGCGGCCGTTGACGGCGGCCCGCAGCCTGTCCAGGCCCGCCTGGGGGTGCGACTCGTGCCCGACCTGCAGGGC